GCACATTATAAAATACCTCCTGTGAAGCCAGACCCCGGTGGCTCACGCCTGTCATCCTAGCTACTCAGGAGGCAGAGATCTGAGGATCACAGTTCAAAGCCAGCCCAGATCAGGAAAATCCACAAGACTCTTATCTTCAATTAACCACCACCACCAAAAAAAAAAAAAAAGAAGCACCAGAAGTGAAACTATGGCTCAAGTGATAGAGCACTATAGTTCAAGTCATAGAGCAGTAGTCTTGAGCAAAAAAATATCAAAGATAGCATCCAGACCCTAAGTTCAAGCCCCAGGACGGGTACAAAAACAACAAAACAGAACAAAACAAAACAGCAGCCTCCTATGACTTCAGATTGCAGTGGGATAGTGCATAAGATACTCAAAATATTCAATATGAAAAAAATGTGAAAACAAATTTAGATAATGCCTTCAAATAATGCCATTTCAATCTGGTAGTGAATTTTCATCTATATGTTTGCCAAGTATACCTACGTTGAATTTCAGTTCATCATCACAGTCACCTTGAAAACATACTATAAATATTACCAATAAGAAATCAACAGGAAAGTTGCCAACAACCAGCAACTCAGCAGTAACACTAAAGGGTGAAACCGGCAGCCCCCAGGCAGAGCTCAGAGGCCGAGCTCTATGGGGACAGGTCCCCAGAGGCTTTGGAAAACAACACTCATAATAGCTAATCTTACACAGCAATATAAGAATCTAGCACATGAAATTAATCGTTCATTTTATTAATATTACTATCAAACCTTGTTTCTGTCTTGATCTCCAACAAACCAACAACTTGGTCGTGAACTGCTCAGTGTCACTCCCTTCTAATTTCTCAGGTAGTGTAGAATTATCTCCAGGCACTTGCCCGTATTCTGTCAAGAGCAAGACCCTGGAGATTCTCTCCCTGACCTAACAGGTTCCTTCAAAGTAGTACAGACATAAACAAATTGATATATTCAGACATGAAGAAGAACACAGAAGCACAGCCACTCTTAAATTATGGCACAGAAATTAAAACTAATTTTCTCTTATTAGGGATATTACTAAAGCCAGTCAATTTTAAGGTACTTGACACACTCACAAGCATTATATTTTCTTTCCTCTAATTATTCCAAAGAAACCAAAACGTTGTTTTTTATGACTAGTAACTAGGAACAATAACATAATTGTTAAACTGTAAGCACGTCACACAAATAAACTTAGCTTATAGAATATATTATTTCATGTATCTAAACCTTATCTAACGATAAATCTGTACCATAAATATAAATTTCTTTTGCACTAGATCTACAGACTTGACCTAAAATGATTCAAATGCACGTGTCTTTTACTGATTTTACAAAAATACTGCAAACTAGGAAAAGCATGAAACAAATTTTTTTTAAATTGCTTTCTTGGCATGTTTATTTTAATCATGATAAATCTGAATGTCTGGGAAACTCAACATTAACTGCAGTTGGAAAACAGACTTGTTTCCTTGCTTTGAGTATCATATATATTTTTTTCTCTATAGTATTCCAAAGAATATTGTAATAATATTTCCTACCTATAACCATTATTTTATATGACAGTAGGAAAGTAAGGTGAAATATAGTACAATATTAAATATATAAGCATTCATTATGACTGTTATAAATGCTTTACTGAACACAATAAAATAAAAGCCAATGTTGCACATTTTGTTTCCTATTTAATTTCAGACTTCCTCTCGTTATGCACATCACATGTATTAATTAATAAATGTACAAATCTCATCTCACTAAATGTAAGGAATGAAGTAAAGACCGTCTGTCTTGTCTTCCTTTAATACTTCTATAGTACAGCAAGATATTTATATGACACGGAATATAAAATAAGCATGATTTGTCAAGGAATAGTACACAAAAAATTCATTCTTAAAAGGCTGCCAATAATACTTGGTGTGAAGATATTTATATCTATTACTTCTGTCTCTATTTCCAAGTTCTGTAATAATAAAGTTGAAAACCATATTAGCAATTAATATGCTGCCCTTGATGCTTCTACTTTGTTTCCCAGCTCACCAAATTACACACTCATTTTTTCTTTTTCTTTTTCATTCTCTCTTCTTGCCCACTCCTACACACACACACACACACACACACACACACACACACACACACGGTAGTTTGATACCACTTAGTAAGGATAGAGGTATATATGTTTGGGGGTGTCAAACAGCTGTCACAAACTGTCACCTCCACAAGAGAAAGCTTGGCGCACCACAAATTAAAGTAAGATTCTTTTTTAGCTGTCATTATTCATAGCCAATAAGTTGAAATGCTCTCAACATTTCATGTGCAAATAAAACCAGGAGGAAGCTCAGTAGATCAGAATAGTGGGCCAACAGATAAAACGGAGAAACAACAGGCTGTCCCAGCCCTTCTGAAGTGGCTCCCCTCACCCCAGCACTGGCACTCACCAAATGAGATCCAGCCTGGGGCAATGCATTAAATATGCATATCAAAGCAAATGAAAAAATAAACCTGAAGATTCAAATTGGACACATTTACATGTGAAAATGCCCTACTCCTACCGCTTCAGGTAGCTGTGTATGTGTGTGTGTGGGGGGTGCTTTTTATGGCTGGAGCTTAAGGGAGCGTGAATTCGCAGGAGAGGGTAAGGTGCTCAGACAGTTCCCTCTGCAGGGGTTTGGGTGTAGGCCTGCAAATGAATGCAGTCAATACACCTATGGTACCAAAGAAACAAGACTGGTGAAGACTCTCCAAGATTCTCCCCTTCAACCTACATAAAACACGGGTCTGTGGCAAACCTGTCCATTTCCCGCTCAGAGTGGTGGTGGAACAAATTATTGCTTCATTTCAAAACAAATGGCAGGGGGTGAAAGTAAAAAATGCTATAGTTCAGATCTCTAGGATATAAGAGGCTTTAAATTATGACACCCAATGAGGTGGCAAGCCCTGGTGAGTTCAAAATAAATCAGTTGTCATGTTCAATTGATTGGGGGCTCGAGAGGGGAGCAACAAATGATACAGTTGGCTCTTTTACCCCAAGATTGTGATTGTTAAATTATTAAAACATTATTCCCTTAAGTACAACTTCTTTGAGTCTGTATCTAAATATTACAATAGCCCCACAAATTGGCATTGTTTGCCAGTCAATGCTCTAAGGAGCCTAGTTTACCTTATCTCTTCCGTGTAAATATCAACATGTTCTAGTCCCATACATCCACTGGAAAAAGAGCTGCCAAGAAACTATTCAAGAAAATGTAGTTCTGGGAACCCGAAGAAATACCAGGAGGAATGCCTGGGGACCCCAAGAAATAAAAGGGGGCGGGGGGGAAAGCCTTCGGAGAACTGTAAACCTCCCTCATTCTACAAAATCGTACAAACAGATCCTTCCCCGTTTCCCCCAATATTGTAAATACAAATGAATCCACAAAGAGAAAGCACTGAAAAGAAACAAATCCTGAACACCACCAAAATGTATTTCCAAGGCTGTGTCATGACTCAGGGACCACAAGACACAAGCGTGGGTAGGGCCACGAGGAAGGAAGGGAATGAACTTCACACAGCTGCTGCTGCTGCACGGAACACAGTCAGGACCCCAAAGAGCCCCCGACAACCCCCCATGGCCTTGGAAACAAATTAAGGCAGGGCCATTTATTCTGCCTCAGAACTAAACATTCAGGAAAAGTCTTTTTTTTCCCCCCTTAAACTTCTGTTCTTAGGCTCGCTTCTCAAACAGAGCAACAGTTCATTATTACAATCTATGGCCGCTTATTTTCAAAACTCGTTGTAGTGGGGTGAGAGGGTTATTCTCAAGGAAGCTCAACCCTTTTTTAACACAGGATTTAAAGGAGGGTTACAAATTACAACTGCAATGCCTGTTTAATTTACATAAGGTGCTAAATTAATATTTCAACCACTAAGTTATTCAAACTACATAGCCTACAGCATTTAGGATTGTGGATTTAAATGAAGGTATAAGACACCCGGCCCTTCACCCCCAGGCTTGGGCTTTAGGTTCTTGTAAATAAAGTATACTTCACAGCCACTCCTTAACCTCCACACACCACACTCCTGCCTTTCCTACCAGCTGCAATCTTTCTTCTCTTTTCAAATTTTCACTCACTACATATGTTTCTCCCTCCCCACCCCCAGCAGACTCACTAGATCAGTTCCAAAATAGGATTAAAAACAGAGGATAGTAAGAAATCCCCATTCCTGCTTGATACACACAGTCATTTCTTACTATACACTCTCTGTCCTCATTCACCAGTGGGAAAAGTGTTAAAATTCAACCACTAACCTATGGTTACTCAATCATAATTCCCTTCAGCTTCCTGTAATACATTGTTAATAATTGGTTCATCAAGGTTACTGTCTTTTATTATGAAGATGCTTCAGGCGCTTGGCAATAAGTCCATATTCTGACAATAAGTTTCTATAGAGCAAAAGCCCTGAGAATTGTAATGTGTTCATTCACTCCTTTTATTTCTAATGCAGTGCAAGATTGCCAATAATTCTCAGGATTGTCATCTCTGAGAGAGACTGGGAAATCAGCTCTCTCCCCATTCTCTCCTAGAGTCCCGTTCTCCTCCCCTCCCCCAACCCGTCCAGCTAACTGTCTTGCCTCTTTCTATCCGGCTGCACTGATTACACAGAATGAGAAACCAGAAAAGACAGCAGTCGCCCTATCAAAAAGAGAACGTGCTAACACCCAAGTCACCAAATCCAGGAAACTGTACACATGAAGAGCACAAATCAAATCACCCTATCAGCTCCTCGGATTTTCAGCTCTCAAAATAAAGCAGGGTCCAAGGCCGGGGGAAATGAAAACAAAGAGTATGGCAGAGGTAGGAAGAGTGAGAGTGAGAGAGAGAGAGAGAGAGAGACTCCATAAGAGAGCAAACCATTTTAAAAGAAAACGAAGTCCACGGAACTAAGAGTTAGGCTTTAAGAAAACACGTTGCCCAATAGCCTTCCAAGAATGCCAAAGGCTTTCAGACTTACATGGTCAGCGAGATTTGTGGAGGAGCCTGAAAGTTCTTCATGATCTGACTTGGAGCTGCCATCCCTTTCATCAATGACGAGGTCGATGGGCATTTTCCCCTTCAAACAGCTAATGTACCGGTGGCAGAAGTTATCACACAGTTCATGCACCTAGGAGGGTTCAGCTCATGTTGTTGTTTGTTTCATTTTTCAAGAGGAAAAATATCAGGTTGCATTGTGACATTTGGAAAAAGCAGCCATGTTCTGTCTTCCACACTAACTCTAATTAGGGGGTGTAATAGTTGAAGTCAAGGAAACAATAGAGCAATTGTTGCAGCAGATATTATTCTCCAGAGACTTCCCCAGCAACAAGTTACAATAAAGCAAGAAATCAGAGTGGAAATAACTGGGCTCAGAATGGGAGACCAGAGAGGAAGACCCGACTTGATAATAGCTTCAAAACCTAGAACTCTGCAACTGCGGGCAGAGGTGGTATTTGGGATGCAGTCAGCTCTGAGTTTGGTATATTTGCATAGAAGTTAAGTGATGGAGCTATGGGCAGTGTAGGGACAGGACATGCTGCTGGCTGCGAACCTGATGCAGACCGTGGGCCCAGAGCCCACTCAGATAACAGAGACAGCACACTGAGTGTCCAGTAGCACAAATGGTTTCAAAACAATCCTCAATGGCTGGGGGGGGGGGGAGCGGGAGAAGTGACTTTAAAAAGGCCTAGACTGCAGATGCAAGCCCCCTTTGAACCCCTGGGATGAGGAACAGTTTAGAGAAGGACAGTGCCACCCTCCAGACATTTCCAAGTGGTCAGTCCCCAACACTGAAGATACACCGAAAACCTCAAGCAACTAGTAGAGACTGTGATCAAATAAAAACCCAGGCGTGATCTCTTACCTTTTCTAACTCCAGAAGATGAAACCTTAGCACTTGTATTGCTTGTATCATCTGAAAGTAAAGTTTAAGACTGTCAGGGTTCTGGAACTCTTCAGGCCCTGAGTAGGGGGTGCTGAAGGAATTGGGCTGGGGAGAAGACACCCGCAGGGGACCAGGCAAACCCCACACTGGAGGAAATCAGTGATTACTGATCATCTCTGCCTCACTGGCCTGGGGTGGGAGTCTGACAGAACTTGAGCCTCAATACTGACATCTTTCCTTCCTGATATCCACAGGACAGTGTGTCCCAGGGACCTCTTTCTCTGCCTGAGCCCTCTTCAACTCTCTCTCTCTCTCTCTTTCTCTCTCTCTCTCTCTCTCTCTCTCTCTCTCTCTCTTTCTCTCTCTCTCTCTCACACACACACACACACACACCCTCTGACCTCAGGTCAAACTTTAAAAAAAAAAGCAAAAGAAAATATAGTGAAACAAAAATAATTTTAAGAGTCGCCTCCCTGCACAGAAAAACCCAGCCCAGCCCAAACCCTTTTCAACCAGAATACGAAGCGCCACGCGGCTGCCTTGGAGGAGGCCTGGCCGCTGGACGGGGAGACGGCTTTCGGACGCGGACTTCAGTACTTTTAATCTTGAAATGGTGCAATTTAGCAAAAGAACCGCACCTCCCGCGCCGGCCCCT